GGGCTCCGCGGACGCCACCAGGGAGACACCGTAAGCGATTCAGCCGCACCGCTGCCAGCTCCGCTCCGAGGAGCTGAGAAAATCCCCCCACCCCCGGGGGTCGACCTGCAATTGTGCACGTTCATTTACTGTCATTTGCTGCATGCAAATAAACATGCCGTCGCCAAACGTGGGAGGCGACCCGGTGTCTTAGCGAGAGACCCGGCGGACGATTTCCCACCTCAGGGCCTTCTGATCGCCGCACGCCGGATTATGATCGGCCTCAACACTTGGGCTGGGAATTTAGCCCCAGGGCCAAACCAACGCGACGAACGCTTTCATCGCTAATCTTCTGGGGGGTGGGGGGGAGAGACCTGTGATATTTTGTTATTTTTCTTGCTATCTTGAAACCATCACAGGGTCTCTCTAAACAGGGACCACAGATGTACCCATTGCCCCCTGAAAAGCACCAGCAGAAGACAAACTTTAAAAGTGCCTTTGATAGTTCAGACCTGAGGAGAGTCAAACATTAATTAGAAGAATGAGATTAAACAGTTAACGTTTACATTATTAAGACATTAAACAATGGGGCAATTACACATGCTGCCAAACCCAGAGTCTGCGTTGATAAACTTCCTAGAAAGGTCAATTGGGAGAGACTTAAGGATAGAGACCCACGGACCAAACCCTGCTCTTCATTTGACTGCGTCTCTGAGTCTCCCTGTAGTCCACCTCACAAACCACCAATAAAACAGTGATTTTAAATCCCAGCGATTATGTCTGTTAACCAAAGCTTTACATCTACTGTCACCCTTTTCCTCCTACTCTTATGTGGGCTGTAATCTGCAAGGCTTATTCCAGTCTCCCTCTCCTAACACCAGGTGGAAGAGACAGAAGAGAGGAAGTGGAAGACAGAGAAGGGGAAAGAATGTGCCTACACTATGTCAAATTTTTGCTAAATGTTTTGCACATGTCATCTTATTTAATCAGCACAACCTCATGAGGTGGAATACTTTTCATTATTTTACAGATGAAGAAACAAATTTGGAGAGGTTAAAAATTGGGCCCAAGTTCATACAGTTAAAACATGAAGTATACTTCATGTCACATCATATTCCCCCTGCTCCCAGCTCTCCAGTGGCTCCGATTCCCATTCTGACATAAAAGCAAAATTCTCAAAATCTTGCACGGCCTTGGTTTATTAGAGGCCCCATGTCTTCTTCTCTGAACTCTCACCCTTCCTCCCTTCCTTACATACACATTAGTTACTGACTTGCTTGAAACGCCAGGCAGGCTTCTTTCTTAGGG